GCTCTGTTTGACTGAGCCTGTTCATGGACGGTACTGGAAAGTGCAAGTAACCATCCACGCCCCTTAGCACCGGCTTAAGCAGAATTCATTATTTAAACACAAAAATGGTGAAATTTTTAATTTAGAACACCCGAAGATGTGTTCATACGGCGGTTATCATGGAACCCTCAATGTGACACTGTAGTGTCATTCCATGAAAAGCGGCGTATGGGCCCCAAGTAAAAGAATGCGTTTGCCCTAATCGAGAAAATAATTGGCGGAACTAAATAAAATTGAATTTTGAAAGGAGATATGAGTATATGAAGCCTGTATATCACAGAAAAGACGTCAAAAGACAAATTTAAAAAGCAGGTAACATATCCTTAGGGTGACTATACACTATTCAAGTAGGAATATTAGAACCACCCAAGTGAAAAAAGGCCTAATACAGGAAACTTAAAATACCATCATTAAAATGTATACACAACAATAATGTCGTGCTGAACGATCTTTAAGGATCGAAAATATAACATCATTATTAAATATAAGGGGATACTTTTTTCAGCCGCCACACGGCACAAACAACACGGATGTGACAATGAAATAGAGAGAAAAAAAACAAACAAAAAAACAGAGTCCCAACATGGCCCCTTAGCACCGGCTTAAGCAGAATTCATTATTTAAACACAAAAATTGTGAAATTTTTAATTTAGAAACAACCGCAAATGTGTTCATACGGCGGTTATTATGGAACCTTCAATGTGAAACAGTAGTGTCATTCCATGAAAAGCGGCGTATGGTCCCCAAGTAAAAGAATGTGTGTGCCCTAAAGGAGAAAACAATGGGCGGAACTAAATAAAATGGAATTTTGAAAGGGGATCTGAGGTTATGAAGCCTGCATATTAAAGACGTCAAAAGACAAATTTAAAAAGCAGGCAACATATCCTTAGGTTGATTTGACACTATTCAAGTAGGAATACTTGAACAACCCAAGTGGAAAAAGGACAAATACAGGAAACTAAAAATACCATCTAAAATGTATACGCAACAATGAAGTCGTGCTAAACGATCCTTAAGGATAGAAAATATAACATAATTGATTAAATGTTTGGGGAGACTTTGTTCAGCCGCCACACGGCACAAATAATACGGATGTGACAATGAAATAGAGAAAAAACAGAATCCCTAAAGAAAGCCCAACACGGCAAAATTGTAAATGTTGCAGGCTCGGTTTGATTGAGTCTGTTCATGGACGGTACTGGAAGTGCAAGTAACCGTCACGCCCCCCAGCACCGGCTTATGCAGAATTCAACATTTAAACACAAAAATTGTGAAATTTTGAATTTAGAAACATCCGCAGATGTGTTCATAATGCGGTTATTATGGAACCTTCAATGTGACACAGTAGTGTCATTCCATGAAAAGCGGCGTATGGTCCCCAAGTATAAGAATGCATGTGCCCTAAACGAGAAAATAATGGGCGGAACTAAATAAAATGTAATTTTGAAAGGGGGTCTGATGTTTTTAAGCCTGTATATCACAGAAAAGACGTCAAAAGACAAATTTAAAAAGCAGGCAACACATCCTTAGGATGATTATACACTATGCAAGTAAGAATACTGGAACAACCTAAGTTGAAAAAGGCCAAATACAGGAAACTAAAAATACTATCTAAAATGCATACACAACAGTAAAGTTGTGCTGAACGATCTTTAAGGATCGGAAATATGACATCATTGATTAAATGTACGAGGAGACTTTTTTCAGCCGCCACACGGCACAAATAACTCGGATGTGACAATGAAATATAGAAAAAAAAACAGAATCCCTAACGAAAGCCCAACATGGCAAAATTGTAAAATGTTGCAGACTCGGTCTCATTGAGCATGTTCATGGACTGAACTGGAAATTGCAAGTTACCGTCCACGTCCCCTAGCACCGGCTTAAGCAGAAATCAACATCTAAACACAAAAATGGTGAAATCTTGAATTTAAAAACATCGGCAGGTATAAGCCATACTTATCAGTAATTTTCTTTCTTTTTCTTAACAAAAAAGTTCAAATATTGATTAAGAATTTACATTTATCAAATATTGATTAAGAATTTACATTTATCGTTTGCAGCAAACTACAGGCACTTAGTTCTTTGTCATATTCTGGAGTCAGTATAATTCATGTAAACATGTAAATTATATTTTCAAATCATATTCATAAAATTTATTTTGAGATGTGTTCAATGTTAATAGTATATCTTTAAATATATAGCGACATGAGATATGATTTTCCAAGATAATCATTCTGTAAAATCGACCTTAACAATGAAATAAGGCCATGTTTAATTGTTATATAATTTTGCTTTTAAAACAATATTTTTCTGACATAAATCTCTACAGTGTTACTTTTATGCTACTCATTTAAATAACAAACATACAAACCCGAAATTAATATACTTTCTTGGTATCTTACATTAATAACACACACGTATTATGTAACATTAAAGTGTACAGTCTTCCATTTAATTCTGCATGGGAAGGGCCTTCATTAATACATGTTGATTTTAAATATGATTATATGTCTCCATGTTTTTATTTTTGTTTTATTAAATGTACTCTTTATGTAATATGATTACTTTTTAAAGAAAACTAATGTGATTAAAGCGATGTTATGCTCATTTTTTCGTTTACGTATTGATTTGAATTATTTTATATACTTTTTATTTAATAATTGACTTTTTTAATGGTGAATGACTAATAATCATGTCATGGTCATGTGAATTTTGATTATGTTTCGTGGTAAAATACTTTTACTGCAAAATGTGAAGTTATTTCTTTTTTTAATTTGAACCTGTCAACTGCATTTGGATGGGCATAATGTTACTTTATATCAATATAGGCCTATATGAAGCCGTTCGAAAATTTGCTGACATGTGCATTTAACATACGTTTAACCACGTGTAGCAATACAATCTTTTCTTTTCGATTTTATATCATAATGAATAATTAGCAGCAGCAATGTAAAACGTTGAAAAGCATATTGTATAAATGCATGTATATGTTTTTTCGTTTTAGGTGTTCCTACTAAATCTTTTTGTACAAACCAGGTAGAAATCAAAGTCATAGCCAATTTTCTTAACTTGCGGGATCAATACTTGACACTTATCTGTTATCAATGTGTGACTATCTAATCGGCAACATGTCTTCAGATGTAAATGTCCATTATAACGTTTCACAAATGTTTACATAATAGGAAGAAATATAATAATACCGCATATACATTTACACAGCCATTAAGAAGCAGCGACCAAGCCATTGTCTTGTTATTTATTAAGTCAAACGGTATAATTGTTTCACTATATTTAAAATAATCAGTTTCATTAACATATAGGGCATTTGAAGATAACACTTATTTAAATTACGTATATTATATTTCAGGAATGCAGACTACCTTATGAACTTATGAAACCTCGACAAATGGATAAATCGCAACTAGCTAAATCACTCGAGTGCATTAACGACTCCTTGTATCCTCGTAACTGTAAATAATTATCATCATGGCGGATACAATCATTTAGAAATGATATGAATTACATATTTTATATTTTTATAAAACATTATTTTCTACTTGCATTTATTCTTTGACTTGTTAAAGGTAAAGCAATAATTGGACTCTGTATCGTTTAATGAGTTAACATTCATCATGTGTTTTTAAACCGCTTAAGATAGCCAGTAATCTTGATGATAGAAACAAGATCACTGCTAGGCGGAGTATTATATGCCCGAAAGTGTTTTTTAGTAAGGATGAAGCATTTGTAAGACATGGGAATTAAATAAAGTATTACTTCCTTCAAAAAGCAATCTTCTTTAATTATAGCTGGAGAACTTTCATATATATATACAGTTGCTGCAACTGTTTCCAAAGCACCACCATCAAGTTGTTATCTTGTAAGTAGAAATGCTACGACTATGTTGAGCGGAAACTGTTTTCAGTTTAATCGTAAAAGTGACCTTGACCTTTGACCTTGTAACCCCAAAATCAATAGGGGTCTTCTACCCAATATGGACAATCATCCTATGAAGTTTGAATATTGTGGGCCAAATGGAATTTAAGTTACGCTACGGAAACTGTTTTCAGTTTTAAGGTTACAGTGACCTTGGCCTTTGATCTTGTGACCCCAAAATCAATAGGGGTCTTCTGCCAAATATAGACAATCATCCTATGAAGTTTGAATATTCTGAGCCAAATGGAACTTAAGTTATGCTCCGGAAACTGTTTCCAGTTTTAAGGTTATAGTGACCTTGACCTTTGATCTTGTGATCCCAAAATCAATAGCGGTCTTCTACCTAAGCTTACTAAGGGTGAGCTTTAAGGATAGTTGAATGTCCGTCGTCAGTCGTCCGTCCACACTTGTTCGTTTACACTCTAGCGGTCACATTTTTGCCTCAATCATCATCAAACTTTGTCAGGATGCTTACCTTGTTGATAGCGCGGATGAGTTTTTGTGTGGGTTTGTGTTGTCTCGATGAACATGTAACTAACACTCTATTGCATGGATGCTTTATTCATGTTTAAATCAATGTGTGTTTAAGTGGTTCATGGTATTTTTTTTTACACATTAAGTATAAACTTTATCATAAATTACACAATAGATAAGGTGTTTCATAAATTATAGTAAAACATATTTAAAGCAATGTTTATAAAGCCATGGAAAGAAAGAAAAGGGAAAAAGACATTTATTTTGATTTTTATATTACCACATATGATTTACTTACTGATATACTTTCGTATTTACGGCGATTTTAAGTTTGATTCTAAAAGGTTTTGGGGCATAGATCAAAATATTTCGGTAAGTATCAAAGACGTGAAAGTCAAAGATTAATGATTGCACATATGATCTATTGTAAGGAATAAAATGTTTCTGCTTGTATCGTCGTGAAATTGGTAAAGTATTTACATTGGGAATTCCCATGGATATATTTTGATATATATATTAAGTGATTTTAAATCTTTACTTTATAGGATCAAACAGAATCCAAAAGGAAGTATAACAAGACTAACGTGCACTCAAACACGTGAAAATTACAGGTAAATATGCATGAAAACTCTCTTGAAAACGACGAAAATGATGTGCAAGATCATAAAGTAAAACTGAGAAATGAGACAATCGTTGCATTGGAGAAATTAAAATCTGAAATAATGAGAAACGACACAGAACCTTTGTTAACATTATTCACAACATGGAATAATAGTCCAGTCAAAAATGCAGTTCATAACATCACTCTAAGAAACTGGATGACACTGCGTCCGTATGTGGTGCCGGTTATTTTCTTATATGATAATTTGACGAAGCAAGCTGGAGGCGGGATTCCTATTTTGAAGTATATGTACATAGATGTCATGCGATTGTTTAAATCAACATTCTATGCATACAGTAATGCTGATATATTGTTTACCGACACTCTGATTTATACATTATTTTCTCTTAAAGAATATATGAAACACATAAGCATGCCCATTCTTGTTGTAGGCAAAAGACATAACGTCAATTTCCTAACTATGTCAGAAGGGTTATCTTGGAAAAGTATAACGCAAGTAGCTCAAATGCGCGGTAAACTTTTCAATGGTTTTGCAGAAGATTACTTTATAACAACTCCTGAATATCCTTGGAGAGATATAGCAGAGGTCGTCATTGGACGGCCGGCCTATGACAACTGGCTAGTATATCGGTCAAGAAAATTACAAGTTAATGTAATTGACAGCACAAATACAATTCTCGCTGTACATCAAACTACAGGTTCTGGTAACTACGAGGGGCATAAACAAACCAATTCAAATTATAATCATAATTTACTTGTAAAATTATATAAATTTATAAAATATAAAACTGGATTTATCGAATGTATTGAAAAATATACAGACTATAAAAATGAAATACTTCTTGTAAAAACGAGGATTGTGGAGAAACAGTGCACGGTATGATCCATGAAGGGTATATAGTTTTCTTCAGTATCCTTATTTTTGGATATGTTTCCAGCTTAATTCCATGTTGTTGCTAGACTTGATTAATGTCTGGTGCAACGACACCAACCCTAAGCGGTCTTGACAATATGTATAAAGTAACAATTATTGCATACTTTAAATAAACTTGTATTAAATGCATTATCATGTATTGCGCTTTATGCCTTTGTTCAGTCTTATTATTATTTTTTCATGTATGGCTGAATGAGACTATTTTGTACTCCTTTACATGGATTTAAATAGTATTTGACACTGTATTTGAAATATTCATATTACAAATTAAATATTTTGTGTGATCAGTATCAAGCATTTCCTACTATATCACATTTTTTTCTTTCTCTTTTTTTTCTTTTTTAATAATTTTAATTTAACCGAATCATTTTCATACTAGTTTGTACATTAGTTAATTCTTAAAACACAAAGGAAATTGTAAGCTAACTCAATAATCACAATCAAGTTTAATAGTTTAAATTAAAGCAATACGGAAGTAATATTGTACAAAGCAGAAGCAGAATTTGTTGACACCGATGCATGTCTTATGTTCGGCGGCAAAAGGACCTGTTTTTGTAGGCTGTGTCACCCTAAACTGTATTATCACACAGCACTCGTTTTGTTTTCGAACTTCAATATATAAGCCCTTGCGCTTATTTGCATAGCATCATGTATCATTAAAACATATTTCAAATTGATAGATTTGATAATAATTTTTGATTAATTATTCTACTCTGAATCACTTTCAAAGTTCTTTGCATCTGAAATTGTAAATTGTAATGCATTGAATTGTTAACAATAATGGTATGATTATATTGGCAAAATGTCTTATACAAGCTTTGCTAAAATGCACATTGGACATGCATATATTCTTTTTTATTATAATAATAAGCTTTATGTTGGTTCACGTTACATTTATCATTTCTCTGAATTCTGCTGTCAATCATTTCATAGTCAACATGTGCATCAAAATCATTATGAATGACAATCATTTAATATGTTATTAAAACTATTATCATTAAGTTCTACGTTTTGAATAAATGTAAAACCGATATTTTTGTCATCTTGAATAATATTTAATCATAAACGTCAACATCCAAAACAATTTCAAAACGTTTTGCTAGGAATGTTGTGTGACACACCATTGATTTGTGCGTCTAAATCAAATCTTGGTACGTTTAGCTCGTCCTGGTGGCTGGCATAGCCATTAATTTCTTCATTTTGATTAATGTTCAAAACAGTTTGCTTGGCATGATGAGTGACATAACCGTTAATTTATTATTTTTCAATTCTAAGACATGTTGCTTGTATAGCATAAAGAAGAACAACAAGAAACGGGAATAAAAGAAATAGTAAATACACAATATGGGATTTCGGATCAACAGCATACCCGACAAAAGCAGGCCATGTTTAAGCTAACCTCAAGGTAGCCATAAGTCAATTTTCCTTAGGGTTGAACTCACGCCTGCTATCTTACAAACCAATAAACATTGAGCCAAAGAAGCTATTCTTCTGCTGTTTGATGTGGAAAATGAATTTTTGCAGCTTTGTTTAATGCAATATTCTACAAAGAAAACATAAAACAATTTGATTACAAGGCATCTTTTAAATCATTAAATATAGTTAGTCTACATATAGCCTAGGTCAAAACGTTTCAACAAAAAGTATGTTTTACAATGATAATGATAGTATATGAATACGTGTAAACCAGTCAATATTATTAAAATTAAATGAACATGCGTCAATCAGCTACATTCTTTTGATATCAATTTTATTAGGCTCGACTGATATGCGCAGAAAGGGCTCGGCAAGTCTCGCCCCTTTCTACCCCGTATCAGCCTCGCCTGATAGAATTGATATCAAAAGATAATAATTATCATGTTATTCTCTATAAATCGCCCTCAGACGTTTGAACTATTTTTACCTTAAAGATGTCATTTATACAATTCATGTAGAGGACTTCAATGGCATGCTTCATGCCATATATATCTACATTTTGCGCATTGGAGTATAGGAGAAAAGGCATGATTACAAAATGAATCGTCTGTTTTTAGTAAACGAAGTTGCTCTTGGAGTTTGATCATATTTTATTCCATATGATGAGTCAAGCAACCTATGTAGATATTATCTAATTAGAGGATTTTAACGACATATTTACTTTATGAATATTTGGCAATTTAAGACCTGATGGACATGATTTATATAACTTTATTATAATTCAATGTTATATACCAAAACTGAATGGATAATTGTCGTGTCACTCATATGACAACCGTTTATTTTGTTTTGAAGTTTTTGCTGATCCAAAGGTGACAAACTGTCTATTATAAGAGGGGAACTCACGACTCCCTTTTGCAAAGCATTAACTAATACTCTTTATCACTGTTCCAAACAATCCATAAATGGACGCAGTTGCCAATGGCTTTAGTTATCATAATCATTATGGTTGAGGTAGTAATGGACCCTATAAAGTTTAAAACACAGAAACGATTAATACTTTTAAAATGCATAAAATGATAACATGGATAACTTTAGTTCCCTTTGTTTTTATTTGATAGTTTAAAAAATATAAATATTGTTAAGTTTAACCTCTTAATTATTGACATTCTTTAAAAAAAATTAAAGTAATTTTTAGAATGTGACGATCAGTTTTTTGACAATCACTTTGGCCTAATGTTATGACATTTTTTATCATATTCGAAACTTGCCATAGAAAGCATTTATAATGCTTTTCAGTGACATTAAAAATGTCAGATTTATAAACAATTTCTTTTTTTTTAATTTCTTATAAAATATGTGTCTTAGTTTTCAAACTACAACTAATTGTTAGCTCAATTCCAACATAACTTATTACATCTGACAGCTGCGCCAATGGATGACTTAACAGCACCAATACTTATTCTAAAACCGTTCTTTCTGAAAGAGATATTGTGAACAGTCATATTTCTAGTATTTCTAACTTTAAAGTACGTGTTGATGAGAAAGAGCTTAAACTTCCGATCATGTACTGGATTCCAAAATTACATAAACATCCATAGAAAGCCCGCTTTATTGGTAATTCTTTATCTTGTACTACCAGTAATCTTTCTATTTTATTGACTTCTTGTCTTACTGCCATCAAGACACATGTAATTAGATACTGTGAAACTTTTTATGAAAATACGGGCAAAAATCTGTTTTGGTCTATTAAAAATTCAACTGAAATTTTAGATAAGTTTAAAGTTAAGAATTAGCAAGCTTCATCTGTAAGTACTTACGATTTCTCTACCTTATATACAACATTGCCGCATAATCTTATAAATGATAAATTAGTATCTTTAATTCAAAAAACATTTGCAAGAGAAAAGGGTTGACACCCAGAAGGCACCAAACAAGTACCTGGAGTGGACACAAGGGCGAAAGGAGCGGGACATGTAATGTGAAATAATATAAACAAAAACAGGCCCATAAGGGAATTAAAGGGAAAAGGGCTGTACGGGTGAAAAGGTAGGGGGTTAAAAATGGGAGGGGGGGGGAGAGAAAATACCTACCGTCAACGACAATCCAACAAGACAGACATCACAAAACATGTAAACATCCAAAAACAAGTAACAATACAGACAAGAAAAACACGTGAAGGAACACAAAGGGGTACCGCCTTGGAACGGTCAGTGGTGGTTAAACCACTGGGGAGTTTAAACCGGTTATAGGCGCGCCAAACCTCACTCTTAGCCCCAATATGTTCCTGAATGACACGAATATGTATATAAAATTAATCCTCGCCAAGTGAAATTCTAACAATGGTCATGGTTACATTAGACGAAATAAATAAAACGCATACAAAGTTATGTAAATATGTAGAAAAAGTTACTGCCTAATGACCATTACCAAAGTACTCGATGCCTTAAAGGAAGGCAGAGCAACAAGAAAATCACCTACAAGGGCCCGACGAAGCAAGGAGGAAAACGAACATTAAGACAATTCAGTCCCCAAAGGGCTTTAAGAAATGTCCATCATAGAGTCTCCCACTTGGTCCGTTAGATGTAATCAACAGAGGAAAGCGTAGCGTCCAACTGTAAAAGGGTTGAACAACAAGCATGCGGTATGCCTTAAAATAATTGGGTCATAACCTCTTTTAATAAACCGTTTGATAATTTTAGTGAAGACGGCAGAAAAATTACTATGACCCATGATCCTACGAAGTTTGTAAACAACATCTCCTTGGAAGTCAGGCTTGGTAATACCTTGTCGTAAAAGAGTTTTTAAATTACAATTAAATTTTAAAACTTAGTCTGAATAACGATGGTAAAACTTAGTAAAATATTTACGCAATTTATGATAGCGTTAACCTTGTTTAAGAAGTTTGTTAGTAATAAATAAATTGCGTTCATTAAAATCATCAACACGACTGCACACCCTAGCAAATCTAATTAATTGAGAAATATACACCCCATATGATGTAGCATGAGGTACATCTCCATCTAAATGTGGGTAGTTAACAATATTAAAATCAAAATCATCTCTTTTATCGTAGATTTTAGTTACTATAGTATTGTTAATGATAGAAATGTTTAAATCTAAAAAAGATGTAATAACGTCTGAAGAGTTACTTTTATTCAATTTAATTTCACTGGGATATATTTTAGAAACCAATTGATCGAAATACGGATTATTCAAGTTAAAAATATCATCAAGGTAGCGGGAAGTGTTGTTAAATGCATGTATAATTTCCTGATGCGAAGTAGGGGAAAGACTTAACATAAAATCCCTCTCATAACAATAAAGAAATAAATCAGCTATCAGGGGGGCACAATTAGTTCCCATTGGAATGCCTATTATCTGTTTGAAAACTGTATTACCAAACCTGACAAAAATGTTATCTAATAAAAAAGAAAGAGCTCCACAAACTTCGTCACAGGTCCACATTGTATATTGTTTAATGATAACATTGGTAAAGAAAGCCTTCTTTGAATTGCAAGCAAGAAACGTGACCTGTTCTCTTGCAAATGTTTTTTGAATTAAAGATACTAATTTATCATTTATAAGATTATGCGGCAATGTTGTATATAAGGTAGAGAAATCGTAAGTACTTACAGATGAAGCTTGATAATTCTTAACTTTAAACTTATCTAAAATTTCAGTTCAATTTTTAATAGACCAAAACAGATTTTTGCCCGTATTTTCATAAAAAGCTTCACAGTATCTAATTACATGTGTCTTGATGGCAGTAAGACAAGAAGTCAATAAAATAGAAAGATTACTGGTAGTACAAGATAAAGAATTAGCAATACAGCGGGCTTTCTATGGATGTTTATGTAATTTTGGAATCCAGTACATGATCGGAAGTTTAAGCTCTTTCTCATCAACACGTACTTTAAAGTTAGAAATACTAGAAATATGACTGTTCACAATATCTCTTTCAGAAAGAAC